GAGCTCCGCGGTGCCAGATCTAGGGGGGTTCCCTCCATCCACAGCAGTCAGCACCAGGCGGTAGTCCGATTGCTTCTCCCGATCCAAAGGCTTCTCCAGAAGAAGCTCTGGGACCAGGCTGCCGTCGCTGCGCTTCTTGACATCCAGGGCAAAGTGTTCATTGGAGCTTAGTCTGTAGCTGCTAATGGAATTGCTCCCCACATCTGCATCCTGAGCCTTTTCCAAGGGGAAACGCTGTCCTGGCGGAGCTGCTGCCCCGATTTCCAAGTCCAACTGCTGCCGCGGAAATCGGGGGGCGTGATCATTCACATCTACGATCTCAACCTCTGCTCGGTACATTTCCAAGGGCCCTTCGGTTACAAACTCCAGGGGCACGATGCAGCTGGCACTGAGCCCACACAGTGCCTCTCGATCGATTGGATTTTTGATGAGCAGGGCTCCGCTGTCCAAATCCACACGGAAGTGTCTTTGGTTCACCTCTCCAGCGACCTGCAGCCTGCGAGCTGATAGACTCTCTGTATCCAGCAGAAAATCTTGGGCGACATTCCCTACAAAAGTCCCTTCCTGTGACTCCTCTGGGACCGGGTAGCGAATCTGCCCAGAAACGTAGCCCAGGTGGCAAAAGAGGAACAAAAGGGTAGCCCCCCACCAAATTTCTACCCAGCTTCTCACCTTGCTGGGCATTGCTGCCATCCGCTAATGCTTTACTTGGTCCGGAGAAGCCAAAGAAGCTGACCCGCCCCTAACAGCCACAGCAGCTGGAGACACCTATCTCCTTCCCCGCGCCAGGTCTGGCGCGGCTCCGCCGGCGCAGCAAGGGTTACGCGCCGTTTTTTGCTGGTGGCGGGGTAGATTTGTCTGCCTTTCACTATCCGATTGGCAGGCAGCAGCTCCTGGGCTCAGCCAATAGGCTGAGCAGAGAATGTCCCAATAGCAGCAGGGTTAATGCGTCGCAGCATTGGGAGGAAACACACACACACACCCCAAAAAAACAAACCCCTAAATATAATAAATACCAACGTTTCTTTCGACCTTCCTCCTGCTCAACTCGCATTTGTGTCCAAGGATCGTTACCATCGTGGAGAGGCAGAAAACATTTATGAATTTTCCCCCAACACATCAATTCACCCCGCCCCTTTTCGCGGGGAAAACAGCTACCTCCTGAGCCCTAGCAACCTGCATCCCTGGAAAACGAGTGGCCGTTCGAGACTGGTCACTTTGTTCAAGCCAGTGTTGTCATCAACCAATATTCTAAATGAGTAGCTTCCATCTCAGGCTGGTCGTGTTAAAGCTATAGAAGCACTGCATATTCTCAAAATTCTGCTCCTCCCCAGACTACCTCTCTTTGCAGAGAGGCTTATGCGTTAATGAAGGAAATTAAATTTATACAGCACACATTTTTATTGTAACAGAAGGCACAACAGAAACCAAACCTCTTATTCAGACATTTGCTACAACAGGAAGCTACCATTCATTGATTTCAAGGACAGTATGCAAGTAGGTGGTGGAAGCCAGAATTGGGAGCCGTTCCAAAACGGTAAGAATCACTGTCTGGGACTTCCTCAGGGCTAGATCTCATTACCTGACAGAATGCTAATGTTCACAGATTGTACAACTTTCTTGAATGATAGGGATCAGCTACCACCAACGTTGTGCCTACAAATCCTCACTATTTGACACCACAGTATTCATGATATGTTGTTAATTACCA